TTTTATTCTCCTTCCGTCTCACCGACTAAGCTTACTTGAGTCGCTCGGCTGAAAGCAAAAAACTTGCGAACATCAGCGGTGCGGGGGTATGCGCGTTCAGAGGGCCCAGCTCGCCTACCGCTGTTGTTGTTGCTACGCAATGCAGGGAATGGATAGAGGAGGAAACAAAAATCCATCACCGGTCCAGCGTGGCGCACGGATGCACGCGCTCTATGCGAAGGCGCTGCGCCACGTGGCCGGTGACCCCAGTTCGATTCCCGCTCGCGGCCACCGACGCCAGCGACGATCGATCGGAACCGGTGGTGGGGTCGCACCCCCCCCTGGGTCGAGTCAGCCTCCTCGAATGAGAACCTGGTGCGGTGCGCAAACATCGCCACGAAGGAAGACAAAGGCGGCCGGTGCGGGGTTGCTGGCCATCCACCCTCGCGAACGGCACTTGCCCCGACAGTCTGTTAAGGCTATACGGGGGTGGGGGGGACCTTTGTCTGGTTACGCAGCCCTCCTCCCACAGCGGCAACCTCCCTCCACGACCCTTCCACTCCCTCGCCTTCTCCTCCCTCCCTTCCCACCACCCCCGCATGAATCTTCAACATCAACCATGGTCAATCCACTGAAGGTCTCCCCTAGCCTTATAATTAGTGGGGGGTGGGGGGGGGGATGTGGGGCGTGTGGGGGGGGGGGAGATTTCACCACGTTTTACGTAGCCCTTCGTCGATCCGCTGCTAGATTAAAGCCACAATCCAAGCTGTCAATGACATGGGGCCTTGTGTTATGCTTCACCACGCTGGTGAGTGCAGGTCGGTGCAGGAACAAGAGGGGGAGGCTTCAGGACAGGTTCAGATATCAGTCACAACTTGTGTTTGGCTTCGGCTGCGAATTGCACTCGTGGTTCGGGATTTAGTGTTAACCACTGCGCCTCCTCTCTTACAGATACAAGTCATCTCCATATATATAAAAGGCAAAATTGTGATTATGTGTGTCTGTTCAAAATGTTTAGCGTACTTCCCGACATGCAACAAACTTGAAATTTGCCATATGGGTACTTTCCAGACTGTACACCATGAAAAAATTATAAAAACACACTTTTGTATATATATATTTTTTTGGGGGGGGGGGGGCTCAATAATGCATATTTTTTGCACGGCAAGTGAGCTGTGACGTCAAATCTGTCATGTGACCCGCGCATGTGGAAGCGTAACGCATTGTACTGTAGCGGTTAGCGCGCTGCGCTACGAACCCAGCGACCCGAGTTCGATTCCCGCTCACGGCCACCACCGGTGACGATTATTTTAACCGGTCCTAGGCCTCCCCTAGGTCGACTCAGCCTCAAACGAGTAACTGGTCTGCTGTGTGAACATCGCCACTGGGGAGACAAAGGCGGCCGGACGAAGCCGGGTAGTAAAGCTAGTATCTAAATTAAAAAAGTGATATTGTAAACTGTTGCACGTGCGAGAAAACCGGAATTGCAGCGTGTTGAGTTAAAACTCCCGCACGTACGGGGAGATGACATTCATATTTGCCGTGTTTGGTAGTTTGTGAAAAATTCTGTGCGCGAATCAAACATAAATGTTTGAAAACGAAAATCAAAGATTGGAACGCGTTGGGGGTTTTATTTTTGTTGTTGTTGCGTTATTTTTGATGAAAAACAAATACGCCGCTTACTGATGTTTGGGTAAGAGATTCTGTTGCACGGAACTTGAGCCAAATCGCCGAACGAAACGCATCGAGATCATTCGGAATCAACAATAGCAGCTGTTCCGCCATGCCCTATGGCATGATATTCGTTGCTACGTTTCATCCTTAATGTTTGTTTAATTTTGACCAACGTTTTACACGCACATCTCACATATACTGTTTGTTAAATCATTTGCAATGGATTGCACAATGGTTATGCAATTTGCATGTGCGTTTAATTCATGACAATGCATGTCGTTGGTTATTCTGTAATATACAGTCAATCATTGCACATATAAAACTTTTTGCATTCCAATCGTGTAATGTGTTCCCAATAATTAAACATATGTTAAATGTAAATGTTGGTGAACATTTCACAAACAATTAAATATCAAACTTAACAATTATCACGCAAAAAATATCACGCTCCAATTATTAAGCAACAAATATCAAGCAACAATTATCACGGCAAAAAGTATCGCAGCAACAAGTATCACGGCCACAAGTATCACGCCATGATGCCGTTTTAAGCACCAAACGAGCCAGATTCGCAATTGTTTTAAGGCAAGAGGCGTGGAGGGGCTGGAAGCGAACGCGATGTTTGCGTTGAGCGCTGTTAACTTTAACAAACTGTTAACTTTAACAAGGCAGAGACTCTCTGCCTCTCGCTACAGAGAGATTTATCAAGGCACGTGATGCACCACCACTTGAAACGTGTATTGATTTTCCCTGTGGCGATCGAGATTATATTTAAATTGGAACTAACAGCGTGCTTTATTTTATAGATATAAAAGAGGAATGCCCCTTATGCTATTTATATTTTCATAATGATACGAATTGTATAATATCCTGTCTTTTTTGCCAGTCCACTGCCAGATAAAGGTATCCACACGCCTTGTCAGTTATCGGGTTAATTGACGCGCAGCATCCAGGACTAGTCCCGATAATCCCTCGCCACTCATGTTAGCCACGGACGAGTATTTAACTCAGATTGCTGGATTCACGGCGCGTTGCACGAACCACTGCGCCACCACTCGAGCGCAGGTTACTCGGGTAACAAAACCATGAAAAGAAACCGCGTCGTGTTGCATATTACGGCATGAGCCCCGAATAGCCCTGTCAAGTGCTTCAGTGTACAGCTAATGGCATCGTTGAAGTCAAATTTGACCACGACGTTTAATCGTGCGGATAAACGGCGATTGGAGCCACCGCTTGCCTGACCCAAGGTGGACAAAAGGGAACGTCGCTCGTGTACATCACCAGCACGACTTCCACATCAGCCCCGATTACACGCAGAGCTGTGCGACCATTTGCTCGTCACATCGCCACCCTCCTGCGCGCGCCTTCCGCACATTTTGATCCGCACATTTTTATCCACACATTTTGATCCGCACATTTTGATCCACACATTTTGATCCGCGCATCTTGATCGAGGCCCCCTCCACCCCGTTTTGCTTGACTTGCGAGCGACGCTGAGCTCGGCTCCGCACGTCAAGAGTCGCGGTCGTTTATGTCCATCAAAAAATATTGCGTGCGAAATAAATTGGGTTATTATTTTTTATTTTTACCGTCAAGTAGAAAACATCGGTGAGGCGTTGCGGCATCAATGGCTTTGGCCACGGTGACATTTGGGCCCCTTTTTTCTCATTGGGGTGCCTCAGCCTCTGCCCGATAGCCCCACCGTGGTCATTCCCCTCCTGGCAGACGTTGGCTGATGCGAAGGAAAACCCCGAACCTGTGAGAAAACAACACTGCCAGCGGGGATCTTAAAGCTTGAGCAGCTCCACACAGCAGTGGCTTCCCACGGATTTCCATGCAAAACTTGCTCAGGCCAAAGCACAACGTAATCCCCCCCCCCACCACCACCACTTCGCGTAAGAAGAGCACACAAGTGACGTCATCACATCTACCCCTCAATTCAAGGAACGAAAGAGGAGGATTTCTCCACAAAGCTGGCTGTCTGCCTGATGAAGCTAGTTGTAATTACTGGCAAAACGTCGTACTCAGATTGTAAATGTTGTGGCTTTGCTCTCCAACACACCGGTGTGCTGTACGAGTGACGATTTGGCCACGTTCTGTTTACGTGACAAACCTTACTAATTGGCTGTGTCGGGTGGTGGCGGGTTTAACAACACGTTTATATTATTATGAACGTTTATATATTTACACGATCTAACCCAAAGAAAAACCTGTTTTATGGGTAATTTTGAGCCTCGCAAGTGTACGGTCGAGAACACAACAACAACAACAAAATCAAGATTCCTTTTGTTCCCCCCACCCCCTCCCAACTCCATCCCTTGGCCGTAACAAGCCCGGTTCTTCGGTGACAGCCGCTATTTGACAGTCACCGCCGTCGCTGCTGCTGCTGCTGCCTTGCAGAGAGCACAGCAAGTGGTAGATTGCTACTGACCTTCACAGGGACCTTTGTGTCAACTTGTTAGTTTTGATCTTGAATGTCTCTCGTCATTTGCGCCCTCTCCAAGATTGGCCTTTACTCCGGCCCGGGTTTCGTACACTTCCTTTTCAGGTCACGTGTAACGAGCGTCGAATGCGGTGCACTTACAAGCGCAGAATCGGTCTATACAGATAGTACGTCGACGGAAAGCATTTCATCTCGCAGACGGTTTAAGTTTTTTAGGGGAGTTTTTTTCTTTTCTTCCATCAGACTAAGAAGTGTACGTATTGCCAAGCCAGGACAAGGGCTGCCAGCCAATTGCCGTTGCCTTGAAACAATTTGCATGCATGTTGTGCGCGGTTCTTCTTCAAATCGGATGAAGGCATCCACATGCTGTGTTGGTCATGGGAATTGTTTGGCCATACTTCACCACGCTGGTCACTGCGTTATGGCTAACATCGGTGCAACTGTATCGGTGCAGACGCACCGCCTGCATGCTCAGTACCTAGTCCACTGATTGCCACTGCCTGGTCCCTCTCTGTGCTCTCGGCCAAAATGCCCCCTGTCATTTGCGAATGTGTTGCGTGCATGTATGTTGAACTTCCTTCGCACCGTACGTAGCCAAACCCGTGTGTTGAGTTTTTGTCATTCGTGCGTATGTACCACTCGGAGCGATTTCCTGTTCAGTTGAGCAATGGCGGAAATTCCATATTCCTATGGCGAGGGCGACTCCATCCACCCCTCACCACAAAGTTGTCGTCATTATTTCAGCCCCGGAGTGATACAGCGCTAAGTAACCCTCCAACCAGGATTTAAACTCGCAACCTCCCGAATTGCGAGCCGCTCGCTCTGTCGCCGTGCGTCGCCACTGCCGACGCAGAATCGCCGACGAACAACGCCTAACCGTTCGTGCCTGTAACCGCGCCGGCAGGTGAACGCGCGAGCGGCGCAGGCGTCTGGGCCGCCCGCTCCTCCGCGCTGGTCTAACCCTCGCGTCCGCCGCCCGCCATCGCGCCCGCCCCGCCGCGGCCGAGCCATGCCTCCTCCGTCGCCGCCACCGCCGCGCCACCGCCACCGCCGGCACCACCAGCACCACAACCACCGCCGCCGCGCGTTCCCCCTGCTCCTCGCGCTGCACGCCGCCGCCGCCGTCGTCTGCTCGGCCTCGCGGCCCGAGCCTAGCCCGGGTCGCAAGGAGGCGGAGAAGGAGCAGGAGCTGCTGGTCGGGGGGCTGTTCCCCGTGCACGAGAAGGGCGACGGCTCCAAGGACTGCGGCCCCATCAACGAGGCGCGCGGCATCCAGCGCATGGAGGCCATGCTGTTCGCGCTCGACAGGATCAACGAAGACCCGCGGCTGCTGCCCGGCGTGCGGCTCGGCGCGCGCGTCCTGGACACGTGCCTCAAGGACACGTATGCGCTGGAGCAGGCGCTCGAGTTCGTGCGCTCGTCGCTGCAGAAGGTGGACGGCACGGACTTCATGTGCCCCGACGGCACGTACGCGATCCACGGAGGGAACGCGCAGCCCATCGCGGGGGTCATCGGGGGGTCGGACAGCAGCGTCTCCATACAGGTGCGGTCGGTCGGTCGGTCGTGGACAGCGATTGCATTGGAAGGAGGGCTTTGTAGTTTTGTGAAAATGTGTGTGGAGTGTCCTGGGGACAGACAGAGAGATGGACGGATATTTTTTTTTCCCCAGGCAAAGCCAGAATGTAGCCTCCCCACTCCATTAAGAATAACACGTCAATATGCATTTAACGCTGGGCTCAGAGGACAGAGCGCTGAGCTTGCATTGCCGACATCCTAGATTCAAATTCAGGCAGCCGCCCAAGATTAAACTGGGTTTTCAAGTGTCACAGGTGTAACGGCCTCAGCCCATTTATCAATGACTGCACAAAAAGTCCCATCAAATTACATTTTGTTCTGAAATTAATTTATCTTAATGCCAGCTCTGGAAGTAAAAAAAAAATCTCGGTCTGACTATCGTGCAACACACATTGTCGGTGGCAAAGTTGGCATAAAAGTGTTGCCCCCTACGGTGTGGATCATAGATCACTCGCAGAGACCTCAGAGGTAGCTCTATGATATCCGCTTCCATGGGCTGTTATGAAACATGAAGGGTTGCAAAGCTCTGTGAAAGATCTAAAAGGAATCTCCGTCTCGGCATGACACCAATAGCATTAAAACAAATTTTACTCAACATTGGCAATACTATAAAAAAAAGTTTCAATTTTCTCATGCACATCTTCCCTTCTTTTGATCATCGTCACACCTCACCCGCTACCCCTAGGTGGCCAACCTGCTCCGGCTCTTCCAGATCCCGCAGATCAGCTACGCGTCGACGAGCGCCAAGCTGAGCGACAAGTCGCGCTACGACTACTTCGCCCGCACCGTGCCGCCCGACTTCTACCAGGCCAAGGCGATGGCGGACATCCTGCGCTTCTTCAACTGGACGTACGTGTCCACCGTGGCGTCGGAGGGCGACTACGGGGAGACGGGCATCGAGGCCTTCGAGAACGAGGCCCGCTCGCGCAACATCTGCATCGCCACGTCGGAGAAGGTGGGCCGCTTGACGGGCCCCGACTCGTACAAGGGCATCGTCCACAACCTCATGCAGAAGCCCAACGCCCGAGTCGTCGTCCTCTTCATGCGCAGCGACGACGCCAAGAACCTGTTGGCCGCCGCGACCAGCAACAACACCTCCTTCCTGTGGGTGGCAAGTGACGGGTGGGGCGCCCTCGAGAACGTCGTGAAGGGCAACGAGAAGGCCGCCCTGGGCGCCATCACCATCGAGCTGTCGTCGTTCCCCGTGCAGGAGTTCAGCGAATACTTCAAGTCGCTCAGGCCCACCGCCAACGAGCGCAACCCGTGGTTCCGCGAGTACTGGCAGCACAAGTTCCAGTGCACCCTCCCCGAGCTGCCGCACGTGGAGAACGAGTGCAGCCAGCAGCGGAGCCTGAACGACAAGAACTTTGAGCAGGAGTCGAAGATCATGTTCGTGGTGAACGCGGTGTACGCCATGGCACACGCTCTGCACAACATGCAGAGGTCCCTGTGCCCCAACACCACGGGGCTCTGCGATGCCATGAAGCCCATCGATGGCAAGAGGCTCTACAAGGAGTTCATACTCAAGGCACAGTTCGACGGTAAGTTCGAACGCGGGCAATGTTTACCGTCGCCTGCCGACAATTGCATTGGTGTACGTACGTATGTATGCGTACTCTAGGGGGTTTGTGCGATTTGGCAGGCATGTCCGTTATGTTTGTCATTAATGTAATGCACCCACAAATAATGTCTGGTTCAACGGCCCTAAGAGCACCGCATGCCTGTTAACGCCTGTTGAGCTTTGTCTCTTCCCGTCCTCCTCCCCTAGAGTTACGCGTTTGCCAGTTTTTCCTTGTTCAGCATTACACACTGCACGCACCTGATGATTGGCAAACACATTCCACGTGGAGACCACTGTTGCAGATGACGATAAAGATCTTGTGTTTGTGTGTGTGTGTTCGTCTTTGGTGGCCCAAGTGATGTAGAGAGCGCTGATTCGAGTTAAGATTTCTCTACGTCTTGAGGAATGTTTGCCAATCATCAGGCATGTGCAACTTGCAATGCCTTGTATTCGAATTTAGAAGAATGCCGTCCATGGCAGGTCATGCAACGCACAAATGAACGTGCCGCTTATATATGTAATGCATCTCAAATTTGTTCTGTCTCCACTTTGTTGGCCTTCCCCACACCTCCGGTTAGCACGGTTGGCTACGTACGGTGCGAAAGAAGTTCAACACAAAGACATGCAAGAAGCTATATGATTAAACCAAAGGCGAAGTTTGACTTCTATATTTGGAAGGTGGGGGCAGGGGTTCGCTTTGTCCCGCACATTAGGAATAGCGGGAGCAAATTTTTTTTTTAGATTAATTGAAAACTACTAAATATGTATTTATAAAGGTGTCCAGTTTGGGATGGGGGCATTGCCCCCCCCCCTCCCCCCGGCAAACACCGTCCATGGATTAAACCTAAAATTAATGCAATAATTAAACCATGACGATAAATACATCAGAATTGACATCCTTTTGCTAATCCACTGGTGCAAGAAGGCCAAACTGCAACATGTATGTCTAAAGTGGTTTGTCTAGCAATAGGTCACCATGCCGGTCAGTACCGAGGGGTCAAGGACTGGTTCAAAGCACTCTTTGCCACTGACCTTTACACGTGGCTGTGAAGCAATCTCGGGGTCACTGGCTTTATAGCGGAGTGCACTCTCCACTATGCCACCATTCTACCCCAACAACTAATTAATGTTAATTTACAAAAATCAAACTATTGACTGCTAATTCATATTTATGTGTTACTTGATGGGTTTTTTTCCGAATTATATTTCACGATGCCCTTGCCTGTGTTTATTTGACAAAATATATTGGCAGAAAAGGTAATTATGTGCCGAATCTTTCCACCAAATCTCATCCAAAAGAGTGCACGTGAGGACGATGGCATATTATATTGGGTGTAAATCAACCAATTCTTGTTTTGACTCATTTAAGCACAAATTGGCTATTGGCAGAAGGCACGTTGCCATTGCCTTTTGACGAGGAGTACTACGCGCGTGACGGTATGAACAAAGTCTACATCCACAGGTGATCCGACCATTTATTATGAGACGATCACAATAGGAGTGCATGCATTGGGTAAATTAATTGTGTATAGCTCCTCGTGGTAGAGCAATTAGAATAATTGCCCATCATGTTACCCTGGTCTAATTACGATAAAGAGTAAAGCTCTCTTGATTAATTAACCATTATATATAATTGCACCTTAAGTAATGTTATTTTTTTCGTAAGTGGTTAATAATTATCACTGCGCTATTAAACAATTACGCGAAATATATACTTTATATTCGTGCATATACCACCACCGTTTAATATGTAAGGCTAAGGATGCGTGTCCGGACGTAGATCCCACGTGTGGCCTGCACTGTTGAAGCAAGTGCTAAACTCAAGCAGCTGTAAAGTACCGTGATACATACCTATACATCGTGCTCATTTCGACTCCATCTACTCGGCCAATTCTTAAATGCAGTGGTTCTTAACCTTTACTCATGTCTTGCAACCCATTGGTTCTCAAGCGTCCAAACAATGTATAATGTGAATAAATACATAGGGTTTGATGAAACAAAGTAGTTGTAATTCGGTGACCGTGCGTCATTTGTGTTTCGATGATTCACCTTCTAAAAACAAATCCTGACATGTCTCGTCACCCCCAGAAAGGGCATCTCACACCCCCAGGGGGTGCGTGCACCCCAGGTTAAGAACCACTGCTTTAATATGATCCAAAATGTATTCGGCCACCACACTGCAGGTCAAAACACTCCTCTGTCTGCTTCTTCCCAAGTTCTCATAAGCTTCGTGCACTTTAAGATGCGTTTCTGCAGCCGTCTGGAACGCTCTCCCGTGATTAGGAAGCCACTGGAGTTATGAACTTTTAAATCGTCTAGATTGAAAACTAATTTCTTGAGAACCGCTTTTTTGTGTACAGTTTGTTGTCCTTCCTCCCGCACCTCCGATGATCACGGTCGGCTATGTACGATGCGAAAAAGGTTCAACATACGTACGTGCGTATGTGTGCGTTTCGTTCCCGCACGCAGCCCCATTCCGCAACGACTCGAGAGTGCGCTTCGACAAGTTCGGCGACGGCATCGGCCGCTACAACCTCTTCAACTACAAGCAGACGGGCAAGCGCTACACCTACACCAAGGTGGGCTACTGGGCCGAGGCTCTGCACCTGGAGACGAGCCGCATCCAGTGGGCCAAGAACTCCGTGCCCGTGTCGCAGTGCAGTGACCCATGCGCCAAGAACGAGATGAAGAGCATGCAGCCCGACAACTGCTGCTGGATCTGCATCCCGTGCCAGCCTTACGAGTTCCTGTACGACGAGTTCACCTGCTTGGAGTGCAAGCTGGGCAGCTGGCCCACCGACGACCAGACGGGCTGCTACGACCTCCCGGAGGAGTACATCAAGTGGGAGGACGCATGGGCCGTGGTGCCCGTCACCATCTCGTGCCTGGGCATCGTGTGCACGCTGCTGGTGGCCGCCGTCTTCCTCAAGCACAACGACACGCCCATCGTGAAGGCCTCGGGCCGCGAGCTCTGCTACATCCTGCTCTTCGGCGTCTTCATGTGCTACAGCATGACCTTCTTCTTCATCGCCAAGCCGTCGCCGTCCGTGTGCACGCTGCGGCGGCTGGGCCTAGGCACGTCGTTCGCCATGTGCTACGCGGCGCTGCTCACCAAGACCAACCGCATCGCGCGCATCTTTAACAGCGTCAAGGAGGGCGCCCAGCGGCTCAAGTTCATCAGCCCCGCGTCGCAGGTGCTCATCTGCATGGCGCTCATCTCCTGCCAGGTCCTCTTCATCATCGCGTGGCTCGTCGTGGAGCCGCCCGGCGACCGCAGGGACACGTCGCTGGAGAAGCGCAACGTGGTGACGCTCAAGTGCAACGTGCAGGACTCCAGCATGCTCATCTCGCTGGGCTACGACGTGATCCTGGTGGTGCTGTGCACCGTCTACGCGTTCAAGACGCGCAAGTGCCCCGAGAACTTCAACGAGGCCAAGTTCATCGGGTTCACCATGTACACCACGTGCATCATCTGGCTTGCCTTCCTGCCCATATTCTACGTGACCTCCAGCGACTACAGGGTAACTCCGTCGCTTCGGCTCTTGCCTTTACCCTTCTTCTACCTCTGTGGGGTATCGCCGTTTGCCTGGGCCCTGGCGCCTAGGCCCCATTCTGCCCATGGGCCGTGGAGCAGTTGCACCGCCTGCACACTCGATGGCTACGCCCACCGCCAAACGCGTACATCGTTGTCCAGGTGGCAGATTTTACTCGGGATCTCGACGAATCTCGGTAGCTAAGCAGGGTCGAGCCTGGAGAATGACTGGATGGTAGAACACCTTGCATGAGCAGGTTGTGTCATCGGGCTCTTGGCGCTACGTCGTGAGCCGCGGAGGACATTGTAGCAAAATCATGTTTTTTGTACTATACTTCTACACCCTCCTCCTATAGTGTAGGTTGGTGTAGGACCTACACCAGGACCTACACCAACCCACACTGACCAGTGTGGTGAAGTATGGTCGCATAACCCCCCCGACCCACATGGGGAAGCCCTCATCCTTCACTACAAGGTGGTCCAGATGTCTAGTGACCCCCATTTCAATCTCTAAAACGTTACAAAAAATTGCATACCAATGGATGAGTTAAAGTAATGTAAGGAATATTTAAAAAAAATGTTAAGGGTCAATTGATTGGGGGGGTCACAAGACATCTGGACCACCCTGTATATTTGGCAAAATAGCTGCACATGTCCATGTGTATTGGGACTGTTTGGCGGCTTCAACAGGTACTACGTCCAGGAGATCCTCGCCGGACATTCAAGAGATCAGTTCTCTCCCAGAGCTGTACGAGGGAGGAGTTGTGCTGTAGTTGGTAATCGTTGATGAGATTTAATTAAAACCAAAGAATATAGACAAAAGGTGGTCCTTACACAAGACCAGTTATTCTTGCAGCAGGCAATTCACTTCAATGATGCCACTCCATCCATGTGGAAAGCATCTCTGAGGCATCTATAATGCCCCATCAGCAGCTTTCCAGAGTAAATATCTAGCGCTTTGAGAATACCAATTTGAAAGGTGCTTTATAGAACTGAGGTTTGAAAATGTAAGTTATAGGAGTTGGTCAAACATGAGGCGAAGGACAAGGGAAGGCTCGTAGATAACGCAGGAACAATGAGACAGAGATAAAGGGCCATCAACGATAACAACGATGAGAATGTTTTTTTTTATTCAGCTTGGACTCGCTGGGTCTTATCGGATGTTTTTAGAGCATACGGCCCACACGCGTACATCAAGAACGTCCACACGTGCAAGCCCTTTTGTCAATCCACTGCTGAGACATAGGCCTCGCCAAGCCGTATACGGATTCATGGGAGTTATTTGACCATACTTCACCACGTTGGTCAGTGCGGGTTTGCCGTGGGCGGAAAGCATAGATTTAGAGCGTAGTTCAGCACAACAATGGATTTTGCGGCATTGCCCTCCGAGGCCCACATCGTATCCCCGCTCAGCAGCCAAAACCTACTTTTTGCTTAAATCTTGACTTCAAGCTTTCGTGACTGCAGGAATTGATATTCTTTGGGTCTTTCGGTAAAGTCACGTACTGTAGATAGGTTAAATAATAAAATAAACTACGACGTTTCGATCGCAACACAAGCGGTCGTCATCACCCTTTTCCTGATGACGGCTGCTTGTGTTGCGATCGAAACGTCGTAGTTCTGTGTAAAAAATGTTTTAACTATCTACGTGACTTTACCGAAAGACCCAAATAATCTATTTATTGGTGCTTGGTTGTCGCCCATCCAAGCACTATGCAGGCTCAACCCTGCCACGCAAAACCAATTGAACCAAAAAAGATCGCACCAAAAAATTATAATAGGAAAATAATGAACAGTTTTTTTTTACTTGGCAGAAGTCACTTGGCATATTTCATCACCACTTGGGATGAAAAGAGACGCAACTACCGAGCGTAAGACCGGCCCACCCTAAACGCTCGGACGTTAATCAGGAATTGAGGCTGGCAAGTACCTGGGCAGCAGGGTGCTTGGGAACATCCGGTGTTGTCACCTCGGCTGGGAGATGGCCAAGAGATGGAAGTGCAGCAGTGGAATCTTAAATCTATCTGTACGGAGCTTTTGAGCGTCACCTTTTTGTATGCACAGTGAGTTTTCTCCATGTCCTTTGGTTTCTACCAACAAAAAAAATGCTGTATAAACAGAACTGGCCAAACACTGCAAATTCAGTGAGTTTTCGTGGGAACATGAAGGGAATTATTTGGATTATTATTAATATAAGCTTTGTGGTAATAAATAAACCACTCTGATCACGCCATATACTTTCAACCAGCTTTCCCCCAATTTCATTCTCTCTCCTGCCCTTGGTAAGACACTCACATTGGCCACCCACCCATCCGCCCACCCATTCATCCACCAACCCACCCATCCATCTATCCACTTGCCCACCTGCCCATCCATCCAGCCACCCACCCACCCATTCACGCAACCACACATTCACCCACGGACCCCCCCGCCCCCCCACCCCCAATTCAATCGTCCACTCTCCCATTCACCCACCCACCCATTCACAAACCTATTTAACCACCCACCCATTCACCCACTCACCAACGGCGGTGTGTTGAGCAGGTGCAGACCACCACGATGTGCGTGTCCGTGAGCCTGAGTGGCTCCGTGGTGCTTGGCTGCCTCTTCGCTCCCAAGGCTCACGTCATCCTCTTCCAGCCACAGAAGAACGTGGCGAGCCTCCGCGTCGTCACCAACCGCTTCAGCGTCTCGGGCTCTGGCCCCTCCAGCTCATTCAGTGAGTCACCGCCGTCACCGCCGCCACTGTGTGCTTAAGAGTTTTGGCACCAAAGTTACATAATAGCCTACCTGTCAACACCATATCAGTGCCTGCCTTATTACAGACCAATTCAGACCGTATTGGTCACCCCGTGGTGCCCTTATAAATCTCAACGTTCGTCCTACAAAGTCCCATCACAAGGGAGAAACACAAACAAAATAGCCAAAAATGTTTTTTGCCCGTATCTAAACGGCTGTGCGCCGTATGGACCTGAAAACCCAATTTCCCTGTACAAGAATACGGGCTAAACCGTATGGATTGACAGGTTTGTAATTGCTTCCCCAGATACATTATTAGTGCATCCACAAATCATCGATTTTATACTAAAGACATTTTGTTTTCAGACAGCATGTGAATATCTCGAATGAAGGGCCCAAAATAAGATGAAATCCAAGCATATTTTTTCTTTTCAAATAATTTTTTTCTGATGTGTGTGTGTGTGTTGTCTACAATACGGTCGTACAGCGGGAAGCAAGCTGCACTACGAACCCGAGTTCAATTCCCACTCAGGGCCCCAACACCAGTGACGATTATCAGAATTGGTCCTGGACCTCCCCTAGGTCGACTCAGCCTCAAACGAGTACCTGGGGCGATGTGTAAACATCAGCACTAGGGAGACAAAGGCGGCCGGGCATGGTGTTGGCCAGCCACCACCCTCGTGTGCCGTACCAACCTTCACAAGGTGATACTCGCTAACAGCACTTGCCCAAACAGTCTGTTAAGGCGCTACTGGGGGACAGACAGCTCAGTCACTTCTGTCACTGCAAGAGTCCCATGCAGTGAGTGAACGAAGTGACCAAGCAATTAGAATCGGTGTTGTTGCCATGTCGAAAATATTTCCTCCTAGAGCCAGATTAGTGTGGCTGCGAAGCTTGCGACGATGGACGGATATCGTTTGTGAGCTGTTGCGAAGTGGTAGGTGTCACGTGGCAGCAGGCTGCATGAAGTGAAGTCGTGAGCCATGATCATCCCAAGAGCCTTCGGCTCCCCGCCCATGTACGGATGGAGTCCGTTGGTTTTCATCAGCGCTTTGCCGCTCCAACAAGACAGGAAAGAACCCCCCACGCCAGAGGCTGAAATCCTGGAAGCTCTCTCTGGACACGCACCACTTGCTCCGGCAGCCGAAAATAAAATACCGACATCGGCACTCGCTGGACGAATCGTGGACGGCTATGGACGTGGCAATGAACGCCTCGTCGAGGACCCGACCGTGGACGCACCGAGCCTCTCTCTCACACGACGACCGTGGACCTCGCTACGCCGTGCTCGAACGCAGCACGGGAGATGCGCGTCCACCTTCCACAAACGGAAGGTCACGGGTTCGCCGACCTGCGACGGTGGTGAAGTCCAAAGCGTCAAAACGCGTCGCCGGCGAACGCGCCATCCGTGCAACATCGTGACGGTGCCGCTGCGATCCACACACCGTCTACTGCCTCCTTGGATTGGTTTTTAAAACTTAGCATTTCAAAATTGTTCCTTCCCCCCCCCCCCCTCCTGCTGTACGACAGAAGAAGCATTGGCTCTTCGTGGATTATTTAAATTTGTATTTTTATCAAAATGGAATTTCCCCCAATGTTACCGTGAAGTGGGACCGTCACGTGGAACCATCGCAGGGGAGTTTTAGAGCAGTGTCAAAGTACGGAACAGAGGCAGTGCGACGCCCCGCGCTACACAACAACGTGTGGCAGGTGGTGGGGCTATTGTTTCGACACGGGGTGCCTGGCTGGCTGTAAGCCACAAGCCCACCGCTGCAGCAGATTGACAGCCGGCCGGCGAGAGCGACGGACTGGGGAGCTCGTCTGGGAGATTGTGTCAGCGTTTGGATTGACATTTGAGGGCGGGAGATTGCTGCCACGCACTGCCCGTCTCGAACGGGTGCCGTACGCGAGTGGCCTGAGGACCCTGTCGAAGTGAAGTGAAGCCCCCACCCTCCGCCATAGGTGTGATGAATCGCCCCCAAGATCAGGTTGATTTGATTTTTTTCTCTCCCCCACCCCGTCCAGTTTGAGTCACCGAGGCAGAGCAAAGGCATGTAAGGATCGGGACACTGAGTGGAGGAAAATGCTTTGGCCTCATTGCCTATTGCAGTCGTTTAATGTCGATTAGTGCTGCTGGCTGGTCATAGAAAATCTCTGCATCACAGAGCAACTCCGGCTGCATTTTTTTATTTTTTGGGGAGGCGGGGGGTGGGGCAGGACAAAAATCTAATGAGCCGCGCATTATTTGACTCTCTTAACCAATTTTACCGACTTTCCCGACAAAATATAGGCAGCCTACTGTTGCTCTGCATCACAGAACTATCCGCTTCTCAAATCGAAAATATATAATCAATCTGGACGTTGGACATTAATCGACGCTGGCAAAGGGCAAAACGTTTCAGAACTATCTGATCGCAGAAAGCTGAAGCCGGGCTTTGTCATTGTTGGATGTGTAAGCAAAAACAAAATCTCTCAATCCTGGTTCCGAGCGCAAAGTTGTGCTGTTGATTCAGCGAGATGTATCTTTTGAGACAAATAATCCGTCATCATAGCACAGTGCCAAGCGACATCGTGCCGTGCAAGGTAGTAGTGGCTCTTAGAATTGATGATAAACTAAATAACCAGTCTGCTCGTTGGACATTAATAGTCTCATTGCGCTTGGTAATAGAGCCGACAGTTAATCCTGGTGTCCTGTTAAAAGTCCCTCTTACGGCTCGTTAAAAAAAAAGACCTGTGGCCTGGGCTAAATTGATTGCTCCTACCTGGTTAAATTCAGAAGGACGAAGCCTTCACCTGTGGGAGGCTGCCACACGAGATGAGAAGTTTGTGTGGCTCATGAATCTTGTGCCGGGTACCTACACGGAGCGTACTTCGTACGATTATTTTTGTTCGAGTTAGCTCACCTCTCGCGTTCCCGTAATCGCAAGTGCGTGCCTCTTAGTGAGGAAACGACGTACGTTGAAGCTCAAGTCAACAAACAGCTTTCAAAGGCGTCACAGTCGCGGCAGAGGAAATGTCCCCGCGCTCTATTTTAATACCCACGCAATTGCTGCACGCGCCACCCTTAAGAACGTCACGGACGTGCAGGCGTGATTCAGTGAGCACAAAGCTCAGCAGAAAGCTCCGGTGTCCCTTGTGGCAATCGGACATTGCCGCAGCGGTTGCCAAAGCTCGCGAGGAAAAAGGTGGCTGGTTTTTTTTCAGCTCCGTCCGACGCGCACGCAATGACGACAAATCTCTGTTTTTCGGCAAACACGTGGCGAGCAGACCCAGGAGGCCTGGCCACTTGCTGTAAGGGGACAGCTCTTATATTCCGCGTTTGTGTGAATCGCAGGACTGGAGTATAGCCCACGACACCTTGCAGCCATGTCCACTTGTGGCGAGGTCGCGTCTGAAAAACGAGGCTATGTTGCACAGTGGGCCTTGCCTGGTGAATAAAACCAAAAAGTTTAGATTAGTTTCGGCTGCAAATTCAGGGCAGAAGGGGAACCGAATTCTCCCGTGACAACTTTGCTTCGCAGGCTCGCCTCAACTCCCGTGCCAGAAATTCGGGCCGAGCGGAAACATTATGTTGTTGGGAAGGTTCTGACCAACTCGTGCAACATTTCCACTGACTACACTTGAGTTGTCCGTCCTTTTTGCCGGTGCACAGTTGAAGCCGCTTGTTGCTCATGCACCCCAAGTTCTCCGAGAGAGAACCAAGCCCACGCGGGGTGCATCTTTAGTGGGTCCGGACTCCGCTGGCCGTGCTTACCATAGTACAGGTGGCACCTCGTCTCACTGCCACCCTTCCTGTGCCAACCGACGCAAAAAAAACCTCCGATAATCGAGAGTCCTGATTGTGAACCAGCGCACGAGCTGTAAACAACGAGCATTTTTTTAAATAGGCAGGATGTTTGGGGGTGGGGGAGAATTATTAAATCGTGTATGGTTGCACAGAGGTGGAGAAGTGGCACAACAGGTTGCATGCTGCAATGTGAACCCAGTGGCCTGAGTTTAAATCCAGGCCCCCAAGGGCTATCTTCAGTGGCGAGTTACATCTGAACCAGTCCTGCCTGTGCGCTCCCTTCTTCACCAATTGACAGTAACCAGCGTGGTGAAGTATGGTCAAACAGCTCGCACCATTAAAGAACATTGTATGGGGAGGCAGTCATCTAGCAGTGGATTGAAAATAGGCTGTCCATTTATTATAACTGCTGTGATGAAATTGACTCAACACGCACATGCGTTACACTGAATTATAAGTATAAGGGAGAAACAAAATTCAAATTTCAAAGGCCTTAGCCATGCAACAGCTTTTCCTCATTGAATTTTTTTTTAAACAAATCAACACAACATAAGACTAGGTTTTTCCCCTTTTTTCTGGCAACAAAATTGAAACATTTTTTTACGACGAATCATGTCTGCATTAACCACAATAATTGTGGTCAGAATGCAAACAAAAAACATACCTAGAAAATATATGCATTGTCCTTGAAACCGTTTGAGACGAGGCTCTAAAGAAAGATGTCTCTGGTGTGGACCAATCAGTTTCAAGGACAATGCATATATTATCAGAGTATGTTTTTGTTTGAATTCTGACCACAAGTATTGTGGTTAATGCAGATATGATTCCTTGTAAAAAGGTTTCAGTTTTGTTGCCAGAAAAAAGGGGAAAAACCCTATTCTTTTATTTTGGTACTGGCAAAGGAGGTCCCAAAACACAGCATATTTTATTTATTATCATAGCATCCGAATGTAATTGCAATTTCAAGACGCTTTACAAAACTAAAGATGGGAGAGACAGGGCAGAACATCACTGGCGAATGGTTTTAAAGATTTGCAGAAAGTAGGAAACAATGCGTGTCAAGAAACATGCTCGCATGAAAGCTTGGACTTTCAAAGGTAGCAGGGACAAGGACAAAGTGTGCCCCCCCCCACCCTGCCCCCCACCCCCCCCCCCATTCTAAAGTGATCCATAAAACTGGTTGCAACAATAAACTTGGCAAGAAAAAAGAGACAAGAAAAAATATCGACGGGGAGTTTATGAAGTTGTATTTTTTTTTAGCTCTATATTTTCTCACTCTGTTGTTGTGTATTTGCACTCTGACTGTCCGTAGCAACCCCAGCTCTGCCTCATCAGGTGTGAAAGCACCCCTCGATTAGCACGATTGGCTACGTCCCGCGCGAAAGAACTTCAACATACACTGCACACACATAGGCCCTCGGCTAGCAGCACTCGCTCGAACATTACGTTCAATGCTGCACGGGGAATCTTTGTCTTTGTCTGCAGGCCAAGTCCCCTGCCGAGGGGTGCCTACCGTGTGCAACGGAAAGGAGGTGATCGACTCCACCACCTCGTCGCTTTGAGGGCCCCCGGTCGTCTGGCACGAAGCACAGCACAAACGGTCGCCTCTTCGAGCCGCAAGTGGTGGATTTTACTTTTATTTTGATTTCCGGAGCACCTCCATCCACTGCCCGCCTAAAAACAGCGTGTCCTCAAAAAAAATAGCGGAGTGATTCAAGGGGGTGAAGTGGTGACGCCCCCCGGTTACAAAGGTTGCCATCAGTTCTGGTCTTCACAGGATTGCCCTTTTTGTTGTTGTTGTTGTCGGGCTGTAAAATCTGGTTTGCCAGGATATTCAAAATTTTGTTTTTGTCACTTGCTTAATAATACACTGCTCAAGACAATAGATTGACATGTAATATCCCATATTTCCCTTAATTCTTAGATATTTTTTAATGTCCCATTTTTTTTAAGTTCAGAGGTGGCAAACTTATGCTCCAGTATATCCATTTTATTCACAAAACCGCGGTTGTTTCAGTGAAGATCAACTTTCGGAATTGTATTTTTTTAAGCGATAAACAAATAATATCGGAGAAAAAAAACACAAATCGTATACAATGAACAAGATATGCCATCACTTTTAAAAGTAAGAATATTAACAAAAGCCTGATCTGGTCTGGAGGGTGTGGAAGAGCGGTACTGCACTGCACTAAGCACAGTACAGTTCAGTACACACCTAAAGTAAATTTAACACATTGCGGTGATGGATATATACTCCCCTGGCGCTGCGTGGAGACCAAACGACGCACCGGCGTTGCTCTGCATGCCGCTCGCTGTTTAAGCTTCGCGAGTTCGAGTTCAAAACGTTTCCCCGTGTTTTTTTTGTTTAACCCCGAGGACGCACTTGGAGATGTTTTAGGCCGAGGCGTGCGCCCACTTCGAGGGCGATGGAATGGGCCGCGGGGGAGCGTAAACATGCGAGCCCGCTGTCACAAATTGTCGAAAAGCAATCCGGCATATTTTTTTTTATCATCTCCGCGACGATTTGAGATCAGCTGGGTGCAGAGTGAAGCAATTCCACCTTCGCCCACACAGGAGTTTGCGGTTCAGAAATTCCGCAGGTGCAGTTCTCATGAGTTTAACGATGCCCTGTGTTAACCCTGATTCTGAACTCTGTTGTCGTGGTGTGATGAACGGAAGGATTGGGGTAGCAAATGAGTTGCGCAGAGGTTCAGTTAACGGGAGAGGTTTATTTAGAGACACACAAAAAAAACTCTGGAAGAAATAAGCGACGTCTTGAAAAAAAACCGTGCCAACTCACGGGAACGCTTTGTTGTCCTGCAAGTAGTGTTTTAGTGATCGTAGGAAGATGAAGTGAAGTTAATTTGCGTGGCCATACAAATACAAAATGACCACATGTAAATGCTTGTGTGTCAATGAAGCCGTGACAAGTTATCTTGATAAAGACAAACGTGGGTTATCGAGTTTTTCCAGGACCACCACTTCATAACAAAAATCATTCAGGCCTTCAGGTTCCCCACATGGGTATTGATTTCCTTACATTTTTGCTACCACTAACAGCAATGTATCGATTGGTAACGTATTTTACGTTACTTTAGTTTTTATTCTGAATCAAACTTAAAAAAAAAATTACATTAGAAATATTGTCACTAGTTTTCGGTGCATCTGGTAGACGACACGGATATCAAATGCAATACAAATTGGTTTTATACAGAACTCCAAGCGTGAAGAGAGTGCAGTTATATAAAAGCCCGCACACAGGGCGCGCACAAATCCACACTTGCTGTCACTGCGATTTTTACAGCATCGGGGGTAGCAAATGACCTCCATAAATGACCTCTATAAATGTGCCTCCCTGAAAAATCAATTTTCTTAACACTGACCTTTTTTTTAAAGAAAATGGCATTAAAAATGTATACGGTAATGTAGTGCAATATCCTGTCGGTACAAAAACAAACACACACACACACGGACTCGACAGTGGTTCTTGCCACAGCGTGAGCCGTGGTGCCCACTGACCTCGGCCGGCTGGCTGCGTCACCTACACAGTGTTGGTGGCACTGCACTGGCACACGAGCACAATAAAAGCCCCACGATAAAGCGCGGCTCGTTACACCGCGGAGTCGGATATAGCGCGGGGGGCCTTAGCTGGTTATTAAAAAATGTCCCAAACCCTCCCCCCCAAACAAAAAATAACAAAGGAGGCACGAGGATGGATGCAAGAAGATGACAATTAAGATGATTTGTTGATCAGGTAGATCAACGCCTCGCAACCGGCTAGTGTGCCCCACCAACGGTGCAGCCCCAGGTCTCCAAGTGCCGATCTAGCCTCCTCAAACAAAAAAAAAGAGACGCGCATTATACGTCGCGTTATGACGCGGGTAGTTAGCCTACAACGCGGGGTGCCACGTGTCCTGACCACCCCGGTTGCCCGAGGTATATCGCGGCTTTTTTTTCCTGCATTAGATGTGACGGTTGAATGTCGCGCGCGCGTGGCTAACGCTGACGGCCGCCTCTTCACGCGCGGATGAAAAGCAGAAGAGGGGGGCAGTAATATTGGCGACGCTTCACCCACACGGGGGGCCAGATACGGCCTGCCACTTCGTTTCGTTCGGCCCGCGGCCTGTGTCTGACATTTATCCGTCGCTGCAAGGCATCTTAGCCACTCTAGTCGTGTACTAGAGGGGAAATTCAGGCTGACCCATTTTATAGGTACCCCACTGATTATTATTGTTGATTATCTAAATTATATTGTGAAGGTTCAATACTCTCCAGAGGGGTGTTTTAAATATAGACTTCGTTTGCTCTATAATTTCTGATTACTTGTGGGGTATTTATACATGGATCACCTTGTATTTTCAACATAGCAGCACTGTTTATCTTAATTTCAGAGCGCTTAGTCACCTGAAAAGGCGGACTAATTATTTTTCACATGACTACTTGATTATGATGTGTTTGTTAATCATTGGTTGCCTGCCAAATCTCTGTGAAAGTCCTATTTGGTGCTTAGTAAGGACAGTAAGGAAAATATTCTACACTTTTGGAGTTGGGGGAAGGTTCACATATAAGTTGCGCTCTCCGATTATTTAAGTGCAGTAATCGATTACTCTATCGATTATTGGTTCGATTGTTTGACCAATTGGAAACAATTAGTTTCCAAGCGATACCCTCTGTACGGGAGGCGATGGGCAGGGCTTGGATGATATCTTTGGCATCACCAACCATGTTACAACGCTGGGCGTGGTTGGGGGTTGCCCGCATTCAGGAGGCCTGAGCAATCGACCACGAAAAAATAGATTACAGGGACTCCTCTACTTACGAACTAGTTAGGTTCCAGAGATCTGTTCGTAAGTCGATTTGTTCGTGAGTAAGTCTAACTTTACTCCTGTCGATTCCAAACGTGTTGTACGGCGTGTACACTAAACACGGCGAATGGCTTTAAAAGTTGTACAATCTCCTGTAGATGTAGGTGCCACTGGTTCTTCATGTTCTGCAGATGTAAATGCCACCACCGCCATCTATTGCGCGCGGTTGAACATACGACTCTCGGTCCGAACAGGCAAACCTACATACGGACAGGTTCGCATCTCTGAAAGTTCGTAAGTCGAGTGTTCGTAAGTAGAGGAGTCACTGTATATATTTTTTCCTGTCAATCGGCATATTTGACGAATCATCCATGCTCTAGTTAAGATTCCCATGTCCATGCCGGTCTAGTCTTCTGTCACCTTAATTCCATTGTGAGATTGAACTTATTGAGAGTTACTCTCATCCAGGCAAAGGTCATTCGCTGTAGAACTACTGAAACTAAACGATGCCAAGATGAGATCGCCTGCGACTAGGCTTGAACGCAGCAACCGACAATTATGCTCAAAAGACACAATTTGGTACCATAGCTGGTGAGTGGAGGTTACTAAGGATCTGGTGGGCTATGCATAGCTCATAGAGACTATAAAAGCACATTTTTATGGTATTAATATTTCTACTGAAGTGGGGCATTTTGTGCCGGGCAAATGCATTTGCAAAAATGAGCACATGCGACAGGGAACAAGCACAAATCAGAGGCATTACGTCAGCTTGTAAGAAACGTGGGCTCAGGCGGAACACATCGCCCCGAGGACGATGGCCAACCACTGGACAACACCGGTGGTGGAATTGCAGTCAAATGAGGAAAAACGGCGAACGAGATGATTATCGCTGCAGAGACTGAGTGATGGGATTGCGGGATCCTGTGCAGGAGCGAGACGGACTGTTGCATCGCAGGACCGAGAGGGAAGGCATAGCATGGGGAGGCCTCCATCGTGCAGTGAATAGACAATGGCTGATGATGATATTTGCAAAAAGGAAATCGGTATCCAAGTGAGCTAGAACCTCATTCGATCAATACTTATTTAGGTACTGTGTCAATCTGTATTTACTGAAGCACAATTTCTGGTCACTCGTTAAACATCTAATCAATGAACAGGCATAAGGAACATAGGGTAGTCAAGGAACGCAGATCATGTCAAATAACTCAACTTTCTTATATATGTTAACCTTCTTTCGCACCATACATAGCCAACCGTGTTTATCGGAGGTGCGGGGTAAGGACAACAAACTAAACACAAGAAGCAGTTCTAAAGAAACGCTTCGGCTTATGCAGTGACTTTTTTTGCGTTAAAAATCCTGAAAGGGTTGGTGACGCGTAAACACTCGGTCGAATTTTTACAGACGCAATTTAAGACGCTCCGTAATGCCACGCGAGTCGGCGTCCAACTCGACGGCAGGCCCATTGGCGTTTCCCAACGCGCGTTTGAGCCGAATGATCACCAACGTGGAAATGCGTAACTTTAGTAAGCGGCTTTGCACCACACAAGCGTTGATACACATTTCGATAACAGTCGCGAGGAAAGGAAAAGGGCACGCGCTCAGACGTGGCTCTGACGTTGACTTAGAACTTCCATCCCGCCGACGATCGGTTTGTCGAGAGCGAAACGCGCGCCGACGGGAACGTTTTGGCGACGATGGCTCGGTGCTTCCAACGAGAAACCTCGCGATGAAGTCCCGCCCGCGCGTGAGAACCACCTTCGGCCATAGAAGTGCAGAGGGCCAAATGGCCGTGCTGTCTCGAGAGCGGCCGTCACGTGCCAGTGGGGGGGGGGGGGGGTGGTGGGGTGGCACGTGCCCCCCCCCCCCCCCAATGATCCGATCAAAATCCCTAATTTCGATCGGATCACTGGAGTTTATTAATCATAAATCGGCATTTTGCGACTCCCACTGCCACTGTGTAGCATATTAAGTGCCAGGGACTCTATGAGATGATAGGACAATAGTCTGAGTCCATAATTGACAATAAGTAACGGCAAGGCAGTTATAAGTGACTCAAAGAATCGTGCGCAGTTGCGTATACAGTCCACGACTTCCCTGAAGGCATCAACACCTTCAGCGAGCGCGATGCCGATCACACACGCGTGGAATAAAAAGCAAGGGACAAGTCCTTGAAAATCCTGGCTCTGCCATTGGACTCGCGTGGACGCATAAACCGTGATGACGCGCCAGAAGGTGGTCGCAACCGCCATTCAAAGAGCCTGTTGGGGGTTAGGGTAAAAAAGAATCATCATCATCATCATCACATTTTGAATTCACCTTACCAGACAGGGTTTCCCCCTCCTAAGATCAGAACTAATGGCAGATGTTCATTTTTCGAATTTTGTGTGCGGCGCGCGTTGCGCCTTCGGTACGGCACTGGGCACATTTGGCAAGGGGAGAGGGGGTAATTGACGACGCGCGGATTATTACGACGGTAAAGGACTGCGTTTTGATGGGTGACTGATAAACGACGCGCATTTCATGACTGATGGTGGAGGATTGACGTCAGAAGTGAAAACGATCTCAACCAGACATAATGCCTGAAATGCATTTGTCATTGTAATCTCTTGAGAACCCGCCGAATGCATCTTACATGCATACCCATAATATATCTCTGTGTCTACTCATCAACGCGTATTGCGGTGGTCTCTGCAAAAAGTGTACAACTGGCCAGCAACGCTTTCCAACAACGCGACTCAAGCGACGATTTTGATTTAAAGCTTTCGTGACTGCAGGGATTCATATTCTTGGTTCTTTCGGTAAAGTCACCACGTAGAAGGGAAACAATAAAATAATCAAAATATAAAACAATAAAATTCTCACGACATTTCGACTGCAACACAAGCAATCATCATCAGATGTGAAAACCACAGCAAGAAAATTTTCTTACGTCGTGAGAATTGTATT